GACAGTTCGTTTGATATGAAACTATCATTCTATGCGTTATTATTCTAAGATAATGAACATAATAGTGATATACAATGAGTATAATCAACATTTCCTAATTTTTTTAAATAAGTATCTAAATTTTATTTTTAAAGCTCATTTGCCTTAGTTCTGAAGGTCAACATAGAACTATCAAAGGTAATTTTATGCGTAGCTCAGAACAGATTAAAATATCGATCGATTTAATTAATTTTATGTCTCAGAAATTTCATTTAACTACGTGCCGTTAAAATTTGATTACCTGTCTTTAGGCTTGATTTAAATCTGCCTCAACTCATGACCGCCTCGACCCAAGACTAATTTTAAATCGGACGTTTATTTTACATCTTACTATCAGTTGGCAACAACCTCATAGCTTCCCTGTAACCAGTTTCACTAGCCCCGTGAACCGTGGAGAAATGCATCTCATTAGTGGCTTCACCAGCGAACAGAACTCTTGGTTTCATGGCCGAGTCGAGAAGTGGGGCGCCGAGATCTGAACGGGCTGTTGGGTGATTTGGGATGTCCAGATTGTCGTATGTGTAACTGCCACGGGTGAAGGGATTTGTGAACCATGTCGACCTGTGAGGACAATTTCAAGTAGGACTCAATACGGCGATGTGAATAAGGCAACAAAAATATGCTTACAAAATAAAACTACGTTCACAGAAAGAAATCAAATCAAGTATTTTAATGAAAATATTTTATAGGGAGTGCACTTTTACTATGGAACCTAGCCTCCCCCTCAAACGCTTGAAAAAAATCAACTATTCCATCGTAAAACTTTGTACCTGCTGGCATTGAATTTGCATTCTAAAATATCGTGTAATAGTATATACACACATCAAAAAAAGTTTGCGATCAATAGCATAAGCTCCTATAATTCTTTAAATTTAACTTTATCAAGAAAAAATCTATGTTGTATGCTTTCTTTAAATAGGAATACCCTGTTTGAAATTAAAATATAAAACTATTTTTTATTATTTATTTTTAAAAATTGAGCCATTAATCATAATGTAATAGTGATAGAAATTTCATAGAAAGAAAAAGACTGTTTAATTAAACTTAAACAACAATTTATTATTAAAAGGTGTGAATTCAATATAAAATAACTCCTCCCCTGGCTCGAATTCATGCGAAGATCCTCCTGGGCATGCTGAGGATCAAGTTATCCAGCATTTCCTGGGGTAACCTATCCCATTCTTCAATAGCGGCTTCCCTGAGCTCTGGAACTGTCTGGGGACGTGGCTCACGGTTCCATACTGCTCGTTTAAGAGCATCCCACGCGTGCTCTATTGGGTTTAAGTCGGGCGAGCCGGCAGGCCAGTCTAATCGTGTGATATCGTATTCTTGAAGAGCAGCATTGAGTCGTTGAGCTCGATGTGCGGGCGCATTATCATCGACCAGTACAAATTGGTGCCCATGGTTTACTCGGAATGGTCTGACGATATCATCAATAGCAACTGCTTTGTACATGTCTGCTGTCATGAAGCCCCGATACGGGATCAAAGGCGTTCTAGCTCCAATCATAATGCCACCCCAAAAGGACACCGATTTTCCGCCTTGCTGAACTGTTCCAGTGGCAGTTCTTTGTCTTTCACGGTCGCCTGGTCTTCTCCAGACACGGACACGTCGGTTATCTGGATGAGTGCTGATTCGGGATTCGTCAACGAAGAGACAGTTTTGCCAAATGTTTTCGTCCTCACCTTCTTCATTTTGCCGAAGTCTAGCCCACTGCAATCTTCGTTGTTGACGTTGCTGGGAATTGAGCGGAGCTCGCCAAGACCTCCGTGTTCGTAATCCAGCCTGGTGCAAGCAATTGCGAACGGTCTGCGTGCTAACTTCAAGCCCAGAGGCGGCCCTGACTTCTGCTTTTATTTTAGTGGCGTTGATTGTTGGATCACGGGCTGCCAGCAATCTAATATAGCGCTTTTGGGCAGCTGTCAAAACAGTTGGGCGACCGCTGCGGGGTCGGTCAGCTAAATTCCCCATTCCGTGATACATCTGCAACGTAGCCACGACACAGGATTGGGATATAGCAAGTCTGCGTGCTATTACTCTCGTGGTGTATCCTTCTTCCCTCAAAGTTACTATTCTAGCTCGTAAAACCTCTGATAATCCTCTTGGCATTTTTTCAATCACAACTTTCCGCGAAAAATATCTTGAATCGCTTATAATTGACTAAATCAGATTTCTGAATGAGCGTAAGCTAGGACTGAAAGCCTTTTTATATGAAAAAACAATTGAACGGGGTCATTGTTTTATGTTCTAATTTATTTTTAAATAAAGAATCTAAAAAGAAGAAAAAATAATAATATAATCTACAGTAAGAAAAAAGATTTCAGCTTTTCGAAGTGATCGCAAACTTTTTTTGATGTGTGTACATTTCGATACGGCGAATCGAAAAAGGTAACAAATATATGCATACAAAATAAAACTACGTGCTCAGAACGAAACCTAATTGAGTTTTTAATTACAAGATTTTATAGGGGGTGAACTTTTACTATAAAACCTCCCAAACTGTAGAGAAAAAAAAAACAGATATTCCTTTGACTTTGTAAAGACGTGTATGGTTTGATATCACGATAATGAACGACGATACCTTTACGATTAATCTGATAATTTTCATGTAATAAAAACTTTGAACATTGCCGTTTGCCGAAATTGCCGAAATTGCATTATTTTTTAAAATGCGCGCTAATAAATATTATTTTTTTTTAAGAATGACCATAGACAACACAATATTTAAAAAAAAACCTTTTCAAGGCGAGAGTGAATAGGCATTATTTAGGTGTGCATGATCCATCGTCGACCTCATCGTAAATGCGCACTTAATTTTAATAAAAAATAATAAAATACCTAATTTCCGTGGTAATTTTTATTAATTAAAATAAATATATATTTCGAGTTCTTAGGTTTCGCGATTGTTACACATAGGAAATGAAACTATTTTTCCGGATTTAAATCGCGTATATTTGTTTTTTCCAAACAAACCGACGTTTCTGGCCCTTTACAGGTCCCCTGGTCCCCAGGACCTAGAATCCGGAAAAATAGTTTCATTTCCTATAAGCATATATTGCCACACTAAAACAAACGACAAGAATTGGTAAACTGCGTAAATAATAATAAATAAATTACCTACTAAGGTATGTTCTTCCCTTAAGCAATAACAACTACGGAAAGCGTGCTTGGAGATACGTGTTACAATTACCGCTTAATAGGCGCCTTGTCGTGGAATTGCGGATACCAGCCCGTTGCACCAAGTACCAAGTACCGCTTAATAAATTGCGAAATGACGTTCTTCATAAAATTCCAGGTAAACCAGAAAAATGTACAACACAATCAATGCATTTATGAAATCGTGAAATTTAAATTTTAAAATTGTGTTTATTCCCTGTTTTGTGTTTATTTTTAAGATTTTTGTAATCTTTTCACTTGTGAATAAAACAAAATAAATAAATAATTATTTAAATATTCAAATATATTATCTTGTAATATTAAATGATATTTCACGATACAATTCTCGATATTAAATAATATTGCACGGTAAAAAATATCGAAGATTTAAAATAATAAAAATTGCCACGGAAATTTAGGTAGTGAACACTGGACAGTGAATGACCGAAAACGTTCTTTTTCTTTATAGTTAGCATTCAAGTATAATAATACAACACATATGATAAAATATGCCTACAGACATTGCGAACATTTTCAAAAGGCAGTGTAACATATAAATAATCTGTTTGTACTAACCGAATTATACCTGTAGGCTCAGGTATCGTGTACTTGTGACCCATGAACCGCCTCAGCAATTCAACGACTTTCCTCTTTACATCCTCCTCTGGAAGTGTTTCTACCTGTACAATTTTTGAATTTTCTAAATATTTCAAAGCAACTTCATTCGTATAGGTAGTGTTTGGGTTACATAATATGAGTTGACAATAAGATTATTTTTTTAGCAGGACTAGAGTCCTTATGAAAGAGTGCGTTCCGGTTTAGAAGGATAAGAGTGCTGGTGAAATTACAGGCACATGGGACTTGTCAACTTATGTCTCAGGGTGACAGACGCAGTGGCAATGCCCCGAGATCGTTGCGATTCAAAACTCTGAGTGGCATTGCAACTGTTGTGGACAGGCATGTAGCTTACCACCAGGCGCACGACTTGTTTGTCCCGTCACTTGATATTATAAAAAATATATAACAACAAGAGACCAATTTCGATACAAAGATATTTTAATTGCAAGCACTTAACTCCTGCATTAAAGTTTCTGCTCATAAAAGTTCCTTAATAATATGATCGCTGGTTATAATTGGTTATGCTGTGTCATCGAGTATATGACTAGAAATAAGAGACAAAATGTTATTTAATTTGTTGAAAACTATTCTGCCAAATCATTCCGGTGACAAATGCGCTCCGATTGGCCAGGCCGAATTCGAAACAATTGACGGGTGTCGTCATTAGTTTCACTTCAAATCGACCAGTTTAACGTAAGCTTTGCTATAATGGACGAAAATTTCAAAATTACACATTTAATTACCGATGAAATGTGATTCTGTTTGTTTTGTAATTAGATGTTTTGCTGTTTTTCCCACACCAACGAATGGATGCCGATTGTTAGAGATATTATCTTTATTACAATAAATACATAATATTTTTGGACGTAGAGACGTACACACAGGTCAGTTGTTGGTGCTGTACTATTTCAGCTTTCTAATTTGTGATTTCAGCGCAAACGAGAGTTGATATTTAACAGTGATATAAGGCTCATTTACCTGATGAGTTGCCAGGAATGGATGCCCCTTATTTCGTCTCATTTCCGGTTATATACTCGATATGCTGTGTGGTGGTAAATTGTACGTACGTTACCTGTAGGTTAAGATGTTTTTGGCGGCATGCAAATGTTTTTGGTGGTACAATGAACGAATTTTTGGCTACGTAGTTATATTAATTCTTTTTAAAGGCTTTTGATGTGTGTAATTACCAATTTCGCTACATCTCCATTCAACCAGAGAGTGAGAGTATTATTCGAACCCATTGGCATACTAATACCACCGATTTTCGTTATCCAATCGTCTTTTGGTAGATCTTTCAAATCTTCTGGTCTCCACAAAAGAAAGAAATCCAAGAGGGCATCTCCCCACCAGCGCTTTTCGAAGGACACAATTATTTTGTCTAAAACACCCATAGTTAGTTTGTCTATAGCTGTAATTTTTTTCTGAGGCAACTCCGGAGAAAATAAGGTTGTGTATCTGAGAAAAATCAATTTAAATTCGCAATATAAAAACGCCAATAAAAAAGTAGGAGACATGCTTTAAACTACGAATAAATATTATAATGCGAGGGTGAGATATCCAAAATAGTGTGTAAGTCGCAGAAAATAAAATTCCTTAAAATTTAGTTTTGAAATAATAGTAATAATAATAATAACGCACACACTCGACATAGCCTAGCATAGCACTAGGGAAACCCTGTGTCGCGGTTGCCATGGACACACAAATAGACAATTACAAATTACAACCAAACTCACGAGACAAATAAATGTAGGCCATACAAATATTTCTCCCGGCCCGGGAATCGAACCTGGGACCTCTGCATGGCAGTCCGGCATGGTAACCGTTCGGCCACGGAGGCAGTTCAAATAACCAGCTTAGCTAGGTCTTCATTACTAAGTCAAACAATTGTTGGATCCTTTGATACCATTTCAAACCTCCTACTTTGGTTGGATGGTTACTCATTTATCCTCTTGAAGTATACTTAGAATACTTCGATAGTATACTTCAAGAGGATTCTTTTGTAGTATACGTCGCAAGAATTTTTTTATTGTGCATTTGTCGATGACTATAATTTTATTCTGTGCAGCTCTGGTGAAAATAGGGTTGAGTGTCTAAAGAAAGAATATTTGTCAATTTATTAGGATATTGATTGAAAAGTCACTTTTAAAATTTAAAATTGATGATTTTACAAGCATTGTTAACAGTGTACGAAAAAGTATGTTCAACAATAATTGTAATATGTAGTACAAATCGTCATTCGGTAATTTCCAAACGAAAATACGTTTTTCTTCACTTTCAGCGCGTTCACGTGTTCATACTAGCGATGCGCGATGCGAATGATGTCGGTAGTGGACTCGTTAGTAATGACTAATCCTGTCATTCGAATGACAAATTAATAACCTACTAATTTTCGTATTCGAATGGTCATTGATTAGTATTACTAATCCATAAATTCCATAAAGCATTTGCTGCCTAGCCCTCTCCGAGATATGGTAAATAGCGTAAATTCGATTGGGACAAGGATATTTTGATATGGACATGGTGGATGTTTCCGAGTAGTTCTGATAGGTTATTCATTCGACTCGGGCACCCGACCGATCGTCAGGGGCATTCGGTATCGGTAATCATCTTGGATTCGACTTAGGCGAATAATTAGCGAGTTAATCTTAGAAACATTCAAAGTCACGCATCACTAGTTCGTACAAACAATCGTTTCATCGTCCACATAAAGTTATTCAAATATATAGAAATCTAACTTACCGTTCTTTCAACACACCCAACGATATCGTAACAATAACATTATTGGCTGTGTAAGTGGTTCCATCTTTTGTCGTTACTATTACATTCTCTTTAGGGTCTTGTGGCCATGTGACCTTTGTCACTTCTGTGTTTAGCTTTATTTCCAGGGTTGGCAGGCCGGGGCCGTTGTTGTATTTGTCCTGCAAAGATTATTTTGAGCAAAATGTTGAGAAAGGAGCCACCCCGTACGGCGAAAGGCTTACGCCTATTAGCAAATACATTCACCACGATAGCAAGAATTACAGCTATCGCTATCGATACAATAAGAAGAAAAAACAAAATATATACGCAATTTATTAGATATCGAGTATAGAACCAGAAATAGAGACGAAATAAGGGCCATCCACCCCTGGTAACTCATCATGCAAATGGGCCTTGTATCACTTACAAAATAATATCAACTCCCGTTTGCGATGAAATCACAAATTAGAAAGCTGAAATAGTACAGCGCCAACAACTGACCTACTTACTGAATAGGTAAGGTGGCAGTACTATCCTGGACGAGCTCTTTCATAAGGCGCTCTACTGCTACTAAAAATAGTAGCAGTTTACTACTACTGCTTGTCCACGGAAATACCTTCTTGCCTGTTTCTGCTGCCAAGCAATAAATTGTCGAAGCTTTTCAACCTGTATATTAATGCATTGATCGTGGAACTCAACAGCGCCAAAGTGGGTTGCTCTATTGACGGCACTTTCATTAACAATATCAGTTACGCAGATGATATGGTGCTGTTGACTCCTGCGATCAGTGCACTTGGTAAGCTGCTCAGGATATGTGAGACATATGCGGAAGCCCATGGACTCAGGTATAACACGAATAAGACCGAGCTCCTAATTTTTTTGTCAAGTCGAAGGCAGGTTCTTTTGGAACTGTGCCGCCGGTGTTTCTCTATGGTAGTTGGATAAGTCGTCTCTCTCAATTTAAGTACCTGGGTCACTGGGTAACTGATAACTTCCATGATAGTACCGACACGGAGAGGGAGAGAAGGGCCCTGTCTGTTAGATGTAATATGCTCGCCCGCAGGTTTGCTCGTTGCACCAAAGATGTAAAGATCTCATATTTAAAGCATATTGCCAAAACTTTTACACAAGCAGCCTGTAGGTGAAGCATACGCAGAGAACCCTGAATACATTAAAGGTGCAATATAACAACGCTTTTAGGATGCTAATGGGGCTGCCGCAACACTGTAGTGCAAGTGGCATGTTCAAGAAGGCGCACACAGATGGCTTTCATGCCATTATGCGCAAGTAGGCTGCCTCACTCATGATACGTGTGCGCGGCAGGGCTAATGGCATCCTAGCCGTCGTTGCCAACAAACTGGACTGCCTGTTGGCAACGCTGTAGTGGTCTAGACGTAGTAAATTTGTATTGTATTAACCATAGCACGTAAGAAAAATTTACTGTATTACTAACATTATTATGGATTCTATTCTATTCTATTCTAATAATGCTCATGTTACCGCATTTGGTGAAAATGTAGGCTCATGGGACTTAAGTCAACATAAATCTCATTGCGGGCGCAGTGGCCAAGGCATTTCGGAGGCAGCTGGTTTGTATCCCTAAGCAAACCGCAGTTTTCTTTTGTAGCTACGACCATTATCATTTCAACTGTTATGCCATAACTTTAAGGTATTCTACCTTTCGTCACCTAAAAATCCTCCTCCTGAAGCTGACTCTACCTCTGATATAGTTCAGTTAGACACTAAGGATAGGTAATTCATTACTTACCAACAAAATATCAAAGAAAGTTTTGTAACCGTATCTATGCCAGCTCATGTGTTGGTTTCCCTCCAGGCTCTCGTATTTCGTATACGCGCTGACATCATTCCAGTCGTTAGTAGCTTCGTAGCTATTTATTATAAAATTCATGAACTTGAGAAAACTGTCCATAAAATCTTGGTTTTCTAGAATTTTTGGGTGTTTCTCTTGTAAGTACACATTTAGTCTGGAAATAAAATTACAGAAAATCACCGTTAATCCTTCTATACGTCCAACTGTTGGACACGATTGTGTACATGCATCTAGAAGTTCTTACATAACATTGTTGTGTCAGTACGTATTGCTAATTTTATTGCATACAATAAATTACTTAATGACATTATTTTTTTATTAAATTAACTGCCGTGGCCGAATGGTTACTTTGCCGGACTGCCACGCAGAGGTCCCAGGTTCGATTCCCGGGCCGGGAGAAATGCATGGCCTACATTTATTTATCTCGTGAGTTTGGGTGTCATTTGTGGTTGTCTATGTGTATGTCCTATGTTGAGTGTGTGCGTTATTATTATTATTATAAAAAATTTTACAGTGTATTAATAATTTTAATTCAAAACTGTCAAATTTTAATTTTAATTTCAATTCCTAATGATATCATACATGTCATTATTTTGTAGTAGTTATTCTATGTTGAGGGTGCTGGTGAAATTACGGGTACATGGGACTTGTGAACTTATGTCTCAGGGTGACGGGCGCAGTGGCAGAGCCCCTCAGATCTTTACGATTTAAAGCTCTGAGTGGCACTGCAACTGTTATGGACAGGCGTATAGCTTACCATAAGACGCACCACTTGTTCGTCCCGTCATTTCATATTATAAAAAAATTTTTTCTTGATAGTCGTCTTCACAAAGTCAAAAAATCATTTAAGGGGCAATGTATACGCTTTTATAACAAGATTCCGGTTGATATACAAAATTTGCCTTTCACGAGGTTTAAAACTATAGTGAAACAAAAACTTTATACTAAAGGTTATTATACAACTTCTGCGCACTTGGATGACAAAAATCCGTGGTAGTAACCCGTTTAGCTCATGGAGGTAGTCTCGATCTCTGATGTTTCAAATAAAAAAATATTGTAAATGTTATTTACAAAGAGCAACCCCTAGAGTTTCTTGCTCATTCTTCTCAGGGGAATCTGCCTTACGAATGAGCGGTAAAGTTTAACCATTGTGACGATTTCAAGTGTAATAATGCTTACCTATGAAATAAAGATTATTTTAAAATTTTTGAAGCTAATTTCATTTTATTGCGTCTTCGTGTACTTTGTTGAAGAGTGAAGGATTTTTCCGCACGAAAAGAACTGTTTCAAATATTGAAGGAACAGTTAACAATCTTAGTACATAAAAGTGTGGTAGTATATACCTTTTCATGCACAACTTTGCACAATGATCTATTCTTATTATGTGTATAATTGTATTATAATACTAATTACATTACACAATATTAAATCCTCTTTACAGTCATAACTTACTCCTACAGCTGTAATTATATTCACATTTGCTCATGCACTTACATGTCAAGCAGGTTATTTTAGATGCACTATTTACACTTTACTACGTATATTATTATTGTCAATGTATACCTTTACTCATAGTCGTTATATTTTTGCTTTCAAATAACTTAATCCCTGACTGAAAACCAGCGCCTTAGGAAACTTTGGCATATGCTGAGTCAGCGCCGTTTCACTGCTATGACAATCATGTTTTGTTTTTTCTTTTATGCTTAATCTGTATTTGTGTTATATCAGTGAATAAAGTGTTTATCTATCTATCTATCAATCCGCAAATTGCTCAAACACATCTTTTTTGTGCAATCAATACGCCAGTTTCGCGAGCTCGCACGTACAAATCGGCGCATTTGACATCACGGGTCGTGGTGAACCACCATAAGGGCGTAATAAACAAAAGTAAACTAAATAAACAAAAATAAACTAAATTAAATTTATTATAGCAAAATTTATGTATCAGGTTTATCTTTGGCCTTCGTAAATTTGACCGAACCTCACACTATCGTAGTCACCTCAATGGCTTACCATTCGTCTCCGCCGGAATTTGCATATTGTCTCTGTTCTATACAATATTCTTCATAACCCTTCATCTCCCGAGTATCTGAAAGAGCTTTTCAGCTTTCTCAGGCCTCAGGACAAACCCTATCGCTCTCTCGTTAGCTCCCAGTTAACTTTCCTTCCTTCAAATCAGGTTTTTATTCTCACTTCTTCACTGTTCACGCGATTAGACTTTGGAACGCACTTCCTATTTCTGTTCACGAAAGTACATCGTTAGCTACTTTTAAATCGACAGTTAAGGAGCGTTATTTATCTACTGTTCCATCCATTTTATAAGTATTATACATATATTATGAAATATGTATTTATCTAAATATTTATCTAGTTTATAACAGTTTAATGTTATTAATATTGTATAATTTTGTTTTGTTGTTAAGCCCGTTATTACAATTATTACGTCCTGTATTTTGATCTACAGGAAGAATTTTCATATAGAAATGAGCAGTAGCTTTTGTGTTTTCCTTTTATTGAATGTAATCTGTGCTTTTTCCTGTGCAATAATAGTACATTACGATATTAGTGCGTAAAGATGGTTATAACATGCGAGGTGGAGTTTTAATTGAGCCGAGCATGTTATAACCAATACGCATTACGCATTTGCGAGGAAACAGAAAAAAAAACATTTTATATTTTGTTCATTTTTAATTATTGAAACAGTTAGTGAAATTACAATTATCTGTGAATGCACACTGTTGCTTTCCCGCCATTTTAACAGCGCGCTAGCGCTGCCTACTGACTAGAGCCGCGCGGCGATTTGTTCGAAATTTGAATAGCTACAGCGCGCTGCTCACTAGCTGGAGTCGTGCGGAGGCGATCAGTTCCATATTTGAAATGGCAAATAATACTGTTATGGAATTTGTATGGACTATAACTTAACTATTTGCTTTGGTAACACACGCGTTTTTTATGATTTACATATTTAAAACCGGTGGAATTACATAAGCTTTACGAGCAAGGGTGTTAAAAATTAATATAATAATAATAATAAATAACAAAAATATTAAACTGGTTTAAAGAATAAAATATCTTAAAAAGTAACGCGGTATATGAATTAAAATAGATAATTTATATATTAATTGTAGAGCTTGTATAGAGAGATCAGAGTTCAGAGATTAGCTATCTCAGGGATACCGGGATCAATCCCGCCGCAAGGCCGGGTCAATGTAGACAAACAAACTTTTCTATTTTGTCTCGGATCTGGGTGTTTGTGGTACCGTTTCACTTGTGAGAGTAATTTTTAACAAAATAATGTAACTATTTACTTACTTTCTAGTAATATAATGCCCCAATGCCTCCTGCTCCTCAGACGGGGTGTCAGCCACTTCTAAGCAGTACATCATGAGCTCTTTCACCAACTGCGCGTCTGAGGTGGTACCATCGGAGCGGTATGCCTCGAATTCGGAATCTTGTGACATTAATGTTACGTTGTTAGCTATTGCCAGATCGTAAACTCTGCTATGTTGTGTGCCATGGATCCTGGAAGGAACAAGGGTTAACACGCTGTATACTAAGTGCCATTGACCACTAAGTGACTATATAGCCGCTACTTCAGAGTCGCGTATGGTATAATGTTTTATTTTAATAAATAACCACAGCAGTTCTCAATTAGCCGCTTAGTGGAAAATTCATGCATGCGCCATTTTCCACGAAGCGACTAGCCGCAGGCGTCTGACTGAACGCGACTCTATTTTACTTCAGAGTGGCGGCCGCGTCTGTGGATATGGTATAATGACTTATTTGAATAATCAAGAGTCGCCCGCGACCAGCCGCCCGTGTCTAGCCGCTTAAAAACGTCTAGTCACGGCTGGCTGCGCCTTCAGTAGCGCTAGCGCAACAGGGTAGACTTGCGCGAGAACGACATAAAGCTAGTTGTTTCTTGTTTTAGGCAAGGAAAGTAAACCTTATTTCACTGCAATATGGTCGATTAAGTTCTCGAATTCAAATTTGCCAATGCCAATTATAGATATAAATTAGGCGTATGCGTTTCTCGATATACAAATCAAACATATTATATAGACATGCAGAAAACGCGAAAATTCAGAACTTTTTTTCTATGTAATACTGCGTCTCATAACCTCTATACATTTGTTTAGGTGATAAGCAAATTTTTCAGTATCCTTATCAAATCAAAGGTGCTTCATGTGAGACCTCTCTTTAATAAGCTATATAATTGGTTTTGTGAGGCTCTGTACCGCATTTAGGTACGATTCCTCAAATGGCTTTGCTTAATTCCGCCAGTGAAACTCACTTTGGAAAAAATATATAGCAAAATGGAGGATAAAAAAATGTCAACACACCTTATAGGTAGTAGTAATCAGTGCAATTATAATTATTAATACTACCTATAAGGTGTGTTGAAATTTTACAAAAAAAAAAATTCTGCAATAAAGCCAGTGGCCCTGCCGCCCTACCGAAGCAAAATGAACTGTATTAGCATGGGAACAATTTTAATTTGAGCTGGGGTAGTATCGAGTATTAATATATAACTGCCTCCGTGGCCGAACGGTTACCATGCCGGACTGCCACGCAGAGGTCCCAGGTTCGATTCCCGGGCCGAGAGAAATAGTTGTATGGCCTACAATTATATCTCTCGTGAGTTTGGATGTAATTTGTAGTTGTCTATGTGTGTGTCCATGGCACCCGCGACACAGGGTTTCCCTAGTGCGGGGCTATGTTGAGTGTGTGCGTTATTTATTATTTATTTATTAAACGAGATAAATAGAATCACAGTGAAGGAAAAACTAAAGTTCTTTATTTCTGTGGTTCTCGGCTCTGGGGGTCTACTTTCGATCTTCGTCGGACATCCGTCCGAAACAATTACTGTCAAATTAGTACTATTCGACAAAATTAAAAGACAAGTATCAAGTATGAAGCTTCATTCGCATCACGCGTCTTTTCATTTGGTCAAATATTGCTTATTTGGCAGTAATTGTTTCGGACGGATGTCGGACGGAGATCGAGAGTAGACCCCATGAGACGAAATTAGTGTTTATTATTGATTTAGGCATTAATAATATTAATTAGACAGTAGTACTACATGTAACTTTAATTAGAATTTTTGGTTTTTATTTTATTTATTTATTAATATAATTTCACTGTAATTAACTTGATATGAGTCCTTGTCGCCCGAAATAAATGATTTTTATTTATTTATTTATTATAACACACCAAATTATTGGTAGACCTGACAGATTATAAACCTAAATAGCCATCATAACAATAATAGCCGAGTTTGTTATTGTAATAGTGCGTTCAATATAATAACGCTTTCAAGATGCTGTTGGGACTACTCAGACGGTATAGTACACCAGGCAACGGTGCGGCAGGCATGTTCGCAGAGGCGCAAGTAGACGGCTTCGAGGCGGTAATGCGGAAAAAAATAGAAACTACAGATATCTCCCGTGATAAATTCATAAATAAACGGTTGTTAACTTTTATAGGAAATAAATACGAACCATTCTGCTCCAACTTCCACGAGTCCATCACCAAAGGGCACCGTATTTACTCTCCCACCAATGCGATCTTGAGCTTCCAAAGCTAGAACCCTTTTTCCAGCACGGGCCAGAGTTGATGCAGCTGTGGTACCAGCGGAGCCCAGCCCAATGACAATTGTGTCGTAGGGTTGAGGTGTGGGTGAACTGGAAGAAACGATAAGTATGCATTCTAAATGCGTTGATATATTGGACGCGCAGGGCGCTATAGGTACGTTCCGTATATCTCACTCATAGGCTGCTCCAGTAGAAGGATTGGCTGTAGGCTTTAAATAGCGAATGTCATAAGTAATGAATGTCATATCAATTTATGACTTACTAATTATTAAGTGAAAAAATATTTTTTTGAAAAAGTTGTTTGATTTGTTAAACTTTCATTTGCCAGCTTAGCTGGAGCGCAGTTGTCACCGTAATGATTTGGCAGAACAATATTCAAACAAATTATATGGCATTTCCTCTCTATTTCTGGTTATAAATATAAATAGTGTATTGCAATTCCTATCTCGGGTTAGTGTCTAAAAAGTTATATGTAGTCGTTTAGTCATAATAAGAAATAACCTCGCTACTGCTTATACTTGAACTTTGCCTTTCTATGTAAGGTCAGCAGCATATCAAACTACACGTTGACGGATCTAGTTCTGTTGCTCTAGATTAGAGATGGTTACATTGCTTACATTTTTCATATTTTTGACCCTCTAGCGTAACATGTAATAAATAACTATTGTTTTTAAGGCAATTTCTCGTAGCGGTTGAGATTTTTTAAATTGAACTACTTATATTTGTTATTGCAAATACTAAATAATTTATGTTAATGTGCCCTGACCATGGGACCTGTAAAGGGCACGAAATGTTGGTTTGTTTGAAAAAACCAATACGCGATTTAAATAGGAAATAATCTGTGTACAAAGTACTAAAAAACCGACCTGAAAAGTCAATCATCCCGTAGTTTGCCACCCTTAGAGGTGGAATATTTTCTTGAAATTTAAATGGCATCAAAATCGGTTCACAACTTAGACTTTTATTTTTTTCCATCCTCTAAGGTTCACAATGTCATTCGCATCACGCATCTTTTAATTTCGTCGAGTATTACTTATTTGACAAGTAATTGCATCGGATTTCAGACGGAGAACAAGATGTGATGTCGACTATACGTTAAAATAACAACAAAACATTGAAGTGATAATACCGAATAAGGTTATAAAGTCATAGAACACATTTTACGATTAGATTATACGACGAGATGCTTAGCAACTACCTACTTAACCATTTCATGGACATAGCAGTACCTACTTAAATAGTACCGCGAACGAAAATGTCAGTAGGTACAGTCAAGAGCACGTCAATCTTGACAGTTTGTACTTTAGACGTTCTTATCGTAAGCGGCATAGAGTTGGATTTAAATCTTAAGTGTCAAGCTTAAATAATAATAATAATAAGCATTTATTTCGGACCTGAATCCATATATTTTTAGCCGTGGGGCGACGGCTTAAGAATACATTGTCGCCTCCCCATACATGCCCGTGGGGGTCGTAAGAGGCGACCGAGGGCGTCACAAGTGTCCATCTGCTTAGCATTGTGGTAGGCTCTGTGCCGACTGGATAGCGACCACAGTACACACGGCGGAAAACCCTCCACAGTGAAACGCTTTTGCGAATCGCGTTCAGGGATCAGTTGGTGTACATCCAGTGCATTTGGCCAGACCGGCAAAATGATAGTGACGGAGTGAAGATATTTGTGTTTTCCATCCGTTACTCTCATCTCTGGACTGTATTCGCACTTTCCATCAGGCGCGGTGCAGTCATTTTGTCGAGTCGCAATAAAAAAAAAAAAAAAAATATATAATTAGTAACAGACTTATAAACTATGTTAGTAATTTACATTGTTTACTTTATTACATGACATTTACTTATGTACATATTTACGAGTACTTTTGTTTTACAGCCCACTTAGAGGGCACTACATGCAACGAGTTGAGACGTTCATTGAAAGGACCAGCAACTCTATTTGCTACTGTAGTTAGGAGGCTGTTGGTGCTGGCGCGCACCCGCTGCATTAGGGAGGCTTGTCGCTTTCTTAAAATGGATTGGAAGCTATCCGTAAAGGCTTCTGCGAACATTGCTGACGCGCTGCAGTAGCGCGGCAGCCCCAACAGCATCCTGAATGCATTAATATATAGGACACGTAGGGCGCTGTATGCCTTTTGAGTAAATGCCGTCCACAGATTGCAGGCATAAAATGATTGGCAGTAGGTTTTAAATAAGGTGACTTTCACTTCTACTTTCAACCTACTAAACTACCTTGCAAATCTACGGATCGACATATTATTTCTAACAGCCAGCGCCCTACGTTCCCTCTCTAAGTCCATATCATCTTTAAGCCACTCGGTGACCCAGTGCCCCAAGTATTTAAGTTCCGACACTGTTTCAAGTGTAGTGCCCCCGAGAGTGACTGGCGGCACAGAACGATAGTGTTTAGCACCTGCCTTGAACACTAGCATTACACTTTTGTTTGCGTTATACTTGAGGCCATGAGTCTCCGCATATCTCTCACATATTTTTAACAATTTTCTAAGGGCACTAATCGAGGGGCTCAGCAGCACCATGTCATCGGCATAACTAACGTTGTTGACATATTTACTGTCAATTGAATTAAATTAAAGTGCTCTTGTCTCTTTTTTTTATAATATCAAGTGACGGGACGAACAAGTCGTACGCCTGACGGTAAGCTACACGCCTGTCCAATAACAGTTGCAGTGCCACTCAGAGCTTTAAATCGCAAAGATCTTAGGGGCACTGCCACTGCGCCCGTCACCCTGAGACATAAGTTGACAAGTCTCATGTACCTGTAATTTCACCAGCACCCTTACCTTTCAAAACCGGTACACAGTAATGCTGACATTACTGCTTGGCGGCAGAATAGGTAAGGTGGCAGTACTTCCCCTGGACGAACTCTTTCACAAGGAGATCTACTGCTGCAAAAAACGTATTACCTTTCTTGCCGTAGTGTAGTGTAAAATGTTCAACGTATGTAAATCATTGTGTTTTGTCAGTATTATTGATACTTCTCTATAAAAAAGCAGTAGGCGGCAATTATATAAAAATCACTTGACACCGTAAAGCCCGTAGTTGGTTGTTTCAAATTCATATAACATAATCTCAGTACAGAGTACTAAAAAAACCGACCTCAAAACTACGTGGAATTACGTCTATTTGCTAAGTTTCTTTGAAATATCCCCTAGTTCGCCGCTATACAGGACTTGATACTGGAGATAACAAAAATAGGTTCTCACTACGACACTACTCAAAGTACATCAAGGGAAAAACGCCTTGAATTGGATAAATAGCAAAATCAACTAAATAATAGCTAAAAGTAATTGCTCCTAAATTAAAGTTAGGCGCTATTTATAAAAATGAATCTTCATGCGTGAACAGCCACCCTTTGAGGTGGATGATTTTCTTCAAAATGAAATGGGACCACTATGGAAATACCCCCTTTCCAACAAAAAAAGAATCATGAAAATCGGTTCACAAATACCGGAGTTATCGCGTAACATACAAAAAAAAAAAACAAAAAAAAAAGGCACATGTGTCATGTCAACACTTCTTTCTTTTTCATTCTTCTATTGCGCGGGTGGAACGGCAGGGTTTTATTTCGGATTTTTTTTACAAAAAAAATATTTATCGTTTACTATATGTTTTCTTTTGAGTTCAGTTTATATAAAAAAAAATTCCAATTGAATACAGCTATTTTCTTGTAACATTTCGAGGTAAGTTTGTACTTTTTTTCTATTATATTATATATTCTGTTGTGAAACTTTTTAGGTATATATTACTTTTTACTTGTATATTTTTTCCAAAGATTGATTGATTCAACACCTTCACTGTTATGCGGAACCAACCGAAGCCATTTGAGGTTGTATTTTTTACTAGAGAGCGTTTTAAAGCGCAATTAATATCTTTTACCACCATTGACTTACAAATAAATGGACGACGGGTCTAATACAAAAACCACGAAAAAAATGTCCCAAGTCAACCTATTCGAAATTTAAATTGTAATGTCATCGCAGTATCGCGCTGTCAGTCGAACAAATGAAGACTAAAGCGGAGTTTGGCGCTCTGTATACGATTTTAGCGCCTTACAAGTGCGGACACTTTTTAGCGCGGACCCGACGTCCATATAATTATAAGTCAATGTTTACCACACGTGATTTTTTGACTTAAGTTCCTTTAGCTCTCACCTACAGATGTACAACCTCAATCCGGTTGAGATATGTACGCGACGAAGACCTTACCGCATTACGTTCATCTTCAAGCCTCACACCATTGACTTACAAATAAATGGACGACGGGTCTAATACAAAAACCACGAAAAAAATGTCCCAAGTCAACCTATTTAAACGTAGTGACATGTAAAGGAATATGAAAAAGCTAAAACGTTGAATTTAAATTGTAATGTCATCGCAGTACTGTCTAATTTTGCTTGCTTCGCTGTCAGTCGAACAAATAAACGAAGACTAAAGCGTGAATGACGCTCTGTATACGATTTTAACGCCCTATAAGTTCGGACACTTTTTAGTGCGGACCCGACGTCCATATAATTGTAAGTCAATGCCTCACACAGTCTTCTTGACATATTTGGAAAAAGACTACCGCAGGCATTGGAAATGTAGGAAACAACAGTGTTCTTTAAGAGGGAGCAGAGGAAAAATTCCTAATCTTCGATTTGATTTTAGAGGGGTATATCCACTTTAAAGTTAAAAATAAAATATTTATGAGTAACTACACGATATATTCAAGCATAGACATTAATCAGAAACATAAAACAATAAAGTTTCCTCGATAAATAAAAATCACGAAATGACCTCTAATTTTCACATTTTTTCGATTTATCCTCGAAATGCTACAGGTTATTAGGTTTGTCCTATTAGATAATTAATTATATTTATGCATGATCGAGAACTGTCAATACGGATTTTTTTTAATCCCTTTAGTTTTAGAGTTATTCCGCTAAAACGAATTTGGTACTTTTAATGCGCAAAATTCAACATCTCCTGTCGCATGTCACGCGAACTTCAGGCATATATTTGTTTCACAAATTTGGGCGGAGCCAACGTCAAAACTTTTGTGGCATGCTCCCTCTTAAAGAGGGAAGCGTTATAGAATATGGGCCCCAAACTACAGCTTTGTACCACTCCAGAAGGAGTATTAACAAACTTAAATAAGTTTTTAAATCAGGAAAAAGTTAGGTTAGTTTGTTTTTTTATAATATCAAGTGACAGGATGGACAAGTCGTGCGCCTTATGGCAAGCTACACGCCTGTCCATAACAGTTGCAGTGCCACTCAGAGCTTTCAATTGCAAAGATCTGAGTGGTACTGATAGTTACGAAATATAAGCACGTTAAAACAATGTTCACTGCAAAACGATTGGTTAGTTGGTAGGTCAATGGTTAATAAAATTATTTTCATTACACTTGCACGTAAATATTTTATGGTTATATGGTTTTATTTGGGGCATTATAGTCAAGTTAGCCTGCATGCAATCTTACTATTTACGTTCAAGTGTGACCAAAAATATTGTGTGTTCCTCGACCGGTATGGGAATTATGAACCTCGACTCTGAAAGCCCTCTGTCTTCGACTTCGCGCTTCTAATAGAGTCTAATTGGTTCCTTATTTACCGCCTTAATTCACAAGGTCCTATTAAATTAATAGTTTGCTTCTTCCTGGGATTTGTTTAAGCTATTATCAGTTATATAATTTTGTGATGTATTTACTTTATTTATATGACAACTCTAACAAAAAAGAAAAATTAATGAATGTAATTTGCTTACCCCAAAACATAGCTAAGAGCTACAAACAATATAACTACTTCCAAACCCATTCTGGACGTAACTACCGATACTAACTCGCCGAGGGGTTATTTAAACTGAAAGATTATATTAAAATAATCGTGGGTCTTGTAATCAGTGTATACACAGATTATGCTATAGGTCAATTATACTTCGCCACAGTGCACTCCGTTCTGAAATATGGAACGGAGCTGTGGTCAAACACTGCCGATCTGGCACAGAGTATTCGTACTCCAAAAGCGTGTGGTTCGTGCAATGGCAGGAGTACCTGACGATGTATTAAAAAAAATATCAAATTGTGACCCTGCCCGTACTACTAATACAGCAAATATACTTACAACTTAGAAAAGTTTCAGCGTAATGGGATTAACTCTAGGTATGCACTATGCTGCAATACACAATTTAACGACCTTGAAAAGATTCCGTCCAGATTAACCAAGTCAGAACAGTCTGTCTACGTAACTGGAGCACTAGTATACAATAAGATACCGTATGACATTGACTTACAATAAGTCAATGCCGTATGACATCAAAGATGCAGCTTCACCGTTTAGTTTTAAGATTAAGTTGAAGATGAAGAACAATTAAAAGAATTCCTTATTTCTTAAAATCAAATGTCAGAATGTAATTTCTATCGTGTGATGATTTATCTTTGACTATTTCTGTACTCATTTTATTTTTATTTTTTATGACATGTAATATAATGTAAATGTGACTTATAATGTATTGTAAATGGAATGCTACGTACTGGTTTATTTTATAATTAATCGTGAATTACATAATCACTGACTTGAAATGTAATATTAATGTAATGTCCGTTTTACAAATATTGAATGGCTGACTTGTAACTTATAATATTGTTACCAATAAATAATTTCATTTCATTGTCGCAGTCGGTATGCTCAGCCTAATTACCGTAGCCATTGTTTTTTCTCGTTAATTATGTCCAATAACATTGAAATATGAATAACTTTAAGCTAAAATATCAATACGTCTAAGTGGCATTGGAATAGACACAGTCGTTTTCGAGTTATTAAGACAAAAATATTTTATGGAAACGGTTATTAGATCTAATTGCCGTAGCCATGGATACGGTAATTAGAAAGTGCAAACAATTTTAAGAAAAACCGACTATATCTGACACCTACGTATTACGAATTTCTACTAATACAAGTGCCATTCAACAATTTTATCCATGGCTACGGTAATTAGATCTAATTACCGTTTCAATAAAATGTTCCTTTCTTAATAACTTGAAAACTACTTTGTCTATTCTAATATCATTTAGACATATTGGTAGTTAAGCTTAAAGTTGTTCATATTTTTATGTTATTGGGTATATAAAGCGAGAAAACACAATGGCTACGGTAATGAGGCTGAGGACACCGAAATAGTTATGGTAATTAGGCTGAGAACATCTAATGTGAGAATGACTGACCGCTATACAGATGACTCGGTGACAGTTAAGATTCTATACTACTTCATTGCAAATTAATTTTTTTCCCGTACTAATACGGTTCATTTTATTTTGGTCGAGCGGTAGAGACACGGGCTTCATTTCAGGATTTGTTTTTTTACCAACTAAATTAAAGCTACTTGAAAAATGTATATCGTATTATATACGTGTTATATCTAGTTCTGTTGCTATAAAAAATCATTGGTATATGTAAAATACCAACAAGAATACAAGAATACAAGAATACAAGAATACAAGATATTTATTCGCTGAAAAATGTAGTTTACAATGGTGTTATAGTATATTATTATTAGATCGTACATTTCACCAAAACTTGGCATGCGAATATTTTACACAATTCTTATTTCAATCACGCACAGTGGTTAAATTTTACATTTTATGTTATCTATTAAAAAATCATTTATATTGTAGTAGCATTGTGTAACTAACGAATTATGTAATTTTATTTTAAATTGCCTACAATTTAGTTCTTTAACTGCATCTGGTATTTTATTAAATAATTTGATAACCGAATGGAATAGTAATGAATAAAATACCAAGTGATTGATTCACACATGAACACTTACACTGTTATACCGAATCAACCAAAGCCATTTGAGGTTGTATCGACTGAATTTCAAATAGTGTAAATTTCTCCGGAAAAATTTCTGAAAAATTGGAAAATATAATTCGAAGGAACATGTTATAATGCTCTTGGTTTAGAAATATCTTTTAAAGTTTTATTTAACGTGCATTATAAAATATAATTGTATAGCTGTGATAATAATACACATAGACAAACTCACGAGATAAATAAATGTAGGTCATACAAATATTTCTCCCAGCCCGAGAATCGAACCTGGGACGTCTGCGTGGCAGTCCGGCATGATAACCGTTCGGCCACGGAAGCAGCTAAAAGATCTTTCTAATTTGTGGCTAAAAGCAAATTAGAAAAAAACTAGATTTAAAATGATTGGACAACACAGCAAAAATGTTTATAATGGCTCCATCGTTTTCGTTCAGTATCTTCAATGTTTGCCAGGTGTCAACGTCAAATGTGGAACAATACGGGAAAAATATTTATTTTTTTGGAAAATATGATTTTTTTCC